ACAGCAGTGTCTTCTTATTAGCAGAGCATAGTGGGTTGTCAAACTGTCTCCTCAGAAATGCTAACCAGACGTTTAATGTTAAGTTACTGCTAGAGAATGTTGGAACTGCATATGTTGATTCAAAATGCTCATCCTAGCAGGGAAAAGCACTTATGTCCCCAGCATACATTTTTTCCTGGAATGCATGTACACACATCAGTGGTTTCTGTCTTTCTGAATCTGCAGATCCTTAACAAATTTTCAGGGAAGACGTGGAGCTCTACATAGCAGACTTCAACCTGCCGATGACAGGCTTGCTTCTTTTAGGTACCTTTTGCAGACCTCAGAGAGCACAAAAAAACCACCATGAGAGCGGCACAGCTATCTGTATGTGAAGAGACCCTAGTATCACAGCTGAAGAGCAGGGAAAGCTGTTTTCTCACATCCAGCTGAACTCTACTTCCACTGAAACCAATGCTTGCTTTACCATTGATGCCAGTATGACAGCTGAATAGAGGCAAAAGGGCTTCTGAAAGCCCCACCTGTAAGGTAAAGCCAGAATACTGCAACTAAAAAAAATCTGAAAAGGTAAATAGAGAAAGACTGAGACTACAGAGATGAAACCCCCTTAAAATTAACTAAGAACATAAAGCAAGTAAAGTAACTGGAACTTATACAAAGAAATCACTACAGACAACACATTTTGTAGTGTATTTGGGGAAGTAGTCAGGGAACATAGTAATTGGTGGAAGTATTGTATTAGTGAAAACCATGCTCATCTTAATGATGAGCCCATGTACCAATGCGTTTCTAATCTGCTGCAAAACTGGCTTTCTTGAAAGAGATATAGCCCAGTAATTACCTCACTGCTCATCTAACTTTGCTACCCCTGGCAGTAAAATAACAGCATCAGTAACAACTGAAAGTCAGGTAAACTACCATGCTTTCAGTGCCATCAGTTATTAGGGGCTACAACAAATTATCCTGGCTGTGGGCCTGGCCTTACACACTCAGGGCAACATTCAGGTGTACCATCACTCAGTGTGAGGTTTCAAGTAAGCGTCACCCTGGCTCATTCCAGCAGTATCCAGGATGACTGAACTGTGGGTCAGTCCAGAGGGAAATCCTGGCCTCAGAAAAGTCAAAGGGAGTTTCGCTACTGACTTTAATGGGATCAAGATTTCACGTAACAGGATGATAAAGGCTACAGCTTCTCTGACAGAGATACAAAATTAGTGAACACAGTAGGGCAGTGCCTCTGAATTTCAGTCAGGCATTTGATACTGTGCCTCATAAAAGCCTGCTATAAATATCGACTCACTGACTAAGACAGGAACACTGCTGCACTGATTGAAAGCTGCTGGCAAATGGCAATGGATCAAGCTGGGGAGAAGTGTCTGTGACAACAGTTCTCAAACTTTCTTCTTGTATCCTAGAGGAAAGCACAGTCTGTGCCTCCATACTATCAGGAACACTGCCAAAGGACACTTCCCACCCACCAAAGCAAGGGGTACTTTACCGTAAGATGGAGAGATGATGCCCTTTGCGAGGCTGAGCCATACCAGGTGGGTGTTTGCACTCAGTATTGTGACTGAACCAAGACAGCCTCGGCAGCATCACTGTCTCCTACCCTGGGATCCCAGCTGGCCCCTGCTCTGAGACCCCAGCCCTGGTGGACATGCCATGACTGGACTGACTCTGCTGCTTGTTCCAGAGATAAACTGGGAGCAGTCTGCATGCCTTTCTCTGACTGAATTCTGCCTCCATTAAGGCCTGGAGACATTCTGCTACTGACTCTAAGGGGAGCAACAGTTTCTGGCCCCTGCTGTTTCCCTCCGCCCCTGCTTTGCGATTCTGCTTGCCTCCCTCTCTGGCCCACATCTTGTGAGTGCTACTGCATCTGCAAGTGTGCTACTGCCCCAGCCTTTTCCTTCCTGCCACACTCGGTGCTCTGCTCCCTAGGGTTTCTTCTGTATAATGAACAGAGAACACTACGAAAAGAAAAATTCAGGATAAAAACTTGGCAAAGCTTGCTGGCAAAGATATCTTAGCTTGCTAAACAGACTTCCAGTGAAACGGAAGAACCCTAACGTCTACAATTACACTAATAAATAAGGACTATGCTTACTGTAATATAAAGGCTCTGATCCTCCATCATGAATGTCAGCTGAACTTTTGCTTTAGACTTCAGCGAGTAGGCACAACTCAAGCACATGATGCCATGCTACAGTAAAACACCCCACTGGACCATTACTCTTGATTCTGGAGGGCAGTGCTGCATTTGTGAGACACTCAGGAGACTTGAATACTGCTTCTTCCTCCATCCTCAATCTAATGAGTGATTTAAGGCAACTCATGTGGTACCTTTATGCCCCTGTTTGTCTTCCCTATCCTTTGCATTCCATGGAGAAACTGATCTTCTTTGTAAATTAATATGAAAGGCAGGAGTGAAAAGAGCTTGTGTCAAAGCCAGGCAGACAAAAATAAGGTAATGTGATTATAAAAGCAAGTATTTAAAAAGGTAAAAACATGCATTTGAAAGGTTGTTACACAAGAGACATCCTCCATCTGCACTGGAATATCGGCCACAGAGAGTACTATGTTAACCACGGTTGCTTTGCACATCACCTTTCAGCCTCAGAGCTGAACCCATTACATGGCCCCTGGGAACACACATTCCCTGAGAACCGGGGTTGGGTTACTGTTATGTACTGCACCGCAGCTGACTGTGGAATGAATGGTCATGCTGAGGAAAGCAAACAAGACAGCCTGCAAGGTCCTGGAGATCACTTTCAGCTATAAGAAAGCTTCTTTATTTTTATACCTTCTATTTAACTGCTAAGCCTTTTGTTTGAAAGCCACAACGGCAGAGAGCATACTGCAGGCATAGCACAGAAACATCAAAGCAGACAGAACAGGTAGCAGCAGGACGTCTTCCAGAGTATCATAAAAAGAAGCCTAGACAAGCTCCTGCATTTCAGCCAGGAATAGCTTCAAAAGGCCATTTTGGCACAGAGTGTAAAGTAAACTCATTTGGAAGTGGGGTAGAGGTGTGTCCCCCTAGTTGAATCAGAGACTTTCAGGGACTGCACAGACTCTCGAGGCTTTGGAAAACAGAAGGTTTTTGAACACCCCAAGTTTGTTAGCATGCTTTTAGGAATGGAAATTATCCCTGTGCAGGAGATGAAAAACATGAGCTGTACTAAACCATGTTCAGAGAAAGGAGCTACAACCAGAGAAGGCAACTGAACAGGTCAGGGCTGCATAAGTGCTCAAGCAGGTGGTGCTGTCAGGACAATGAGACTTGAAGTAACAATAACCTTAGTCACAGAAGCAGAGAAACTAAGCAGGTAGCTTAACAGATGTGGGAGGTGGATGAGACTGGCTTAAGGACCTTGGACTAAAATCTGGGCTTGATACCTGACTTTGACATTGACCTCCTGTGCCTTCTGGACAATTCATCTTGGTTGAGTTCCCTGCTCACTCAGCAAAGTCAGCAGTCTGTGGGGAGGTGGAGGAAGGGATGACACACAATTTTCTTTCCACTCCTGATAGGGAAGATTTTTTTTTAACTATGTGGTTTAAGCTCCCTCCCACAACTCTTCAAGCCAAAGACACTGGAGTAATCACATCGCTAGGGACAATACTTCAGATCCAAAGCAAGGAAACAGCTCCTTCCCTCACTGCAGTGAACATGGAGCAGGAAGCTCAAAAAGCCCACATCTATCATTTCATTCTTCCAAAAGCTCTCCCCAAAGCCATGGGAAATACGGCCATAACAAAAAGGTTCCCACATCTGCTGGTAGCTGTTGAAGGATGCCTATTCATTAGCCTATGGCAACCCAGAACCCCACAGGCATTCCAGCCCACTTCCATTTTCCAATGCCACCATCATTCAAAGGCAAGAACACTGTCTTCCTCTGACATGGAAGGAAGGAATGTAGTCTCCCCTGAGCTGCTTGAACGTGCAGTTCCCTATTGAACCAAGTCAGAGCGTGCATTTATGACCATTTTCATTTCACATTTACTTTACATGTGTGACGCTTTGTGTCTGGCATGAAAAAGTGAGAAAGTGTCGTCTAAACACACAAATTTTTGCTGCACTGGCTTGAAGAAAGGCTGGTAGCCTCATTAAGAATCTGCTGCTTGTTTGAGAATTTCTACTATTCTCATGGAAACAAATTCAAACCCATTTCTTCAAGGGCCCTGGGAAACAAGCAGGAGCAGTAGGGCTCTGCTGCAAGGAGTCCCGTGTCGATGCAAACACCCTACTCTTAGTGCAAAAGGGCTGGAGGAAGCATGGCATTAGCACTTTGAGAAGGCATAGTAACATCACAGAAGGTGCATGAAAAGCCCCAGCATTGACTGTTTTGCTCCCTGATGACCCCGTTCACAATTGCACAACACCCCTATGATTCTTATCATAGGCAAGGATTAGTATACATTCAGCTGTCTTCATAGTGATCTCATAGACAAAAACAGCCATTGGCCTCAATTGGCCAGAAACATCGGTGCATTCCCACAGCAAACCTCAGCTTGGAATCACCAAAATAAACCTACACACTTTTATGATTAGAGGTCACATCTAGTGTGGGAAGAAGGATGTGAGTAGGAAAAAAATTGGATCCACCCAGCCTGCCATGCCAACATCAAACTGCTGTATCAGAGCACACATTGAACATTCCCACAGAAATTATCAGCAATGGAAGACTGACAATGCCAACATGTTATTAAACAGTCGTCATTTGGCTCAGAGTCAACATCTTGCTGAATTGAAAGGGTAGACAAATAGAGCTGTCCTCTATATTCTCAGAACGGTATCTGTCCACATGTATTTGTCTGGAAGACAAGGGGTTTGAGTGAGACTTTTCTTTCTCTCTCTCTCTCTTTTTTTTTTTTAAAATGAGGACTCAGAAATTGATGGAGCTACCACAGAGCTTCTGATGCCTTCCAACCAAACTCTGGGCCCTGTTCCTGGACAGAATTCCCACACACCCCCTCCACCCTTTCTACACACTTACCATAATGGTGTGATGTGGGAACAGAGCACGGACAGACTTCACAAACTCCACAAAGTGCTCCGAATAGCCATTTGCCACATCCAGGCAGATGTATCTGATAGGTGGGATGGCCTCTAGAATACTTGTTAACTTGTCCAAATCAGCTTTTCCACTACCTGAGCTTGCTGCTACATGCTAGAAAGGCAGGGAGAACAAAAGGGAGTAGTAGTTTGTAAAAACTGGGATAAACACACACTTCGTATGCCTTTTTCTGCACAGTCTTGGGAGGACTTGTGCTGGAAACTAGTGAAAATCATACTATATAATATGAAATAAATACCTTCCTGGGAATTTCAATGTGTTAGTTCTGTTTCGTTTAACGACTTTAAAATAAAGCAAAATTAGCATTTTATCAGCTCTTCATTCACAAGTGGATTCTCATAGGCAAATATAATCATCTGAGATGTATGAAGGCTCAGCTGTACTCATATTAACACAAACACAGAAGAAGCCCTAACTTGGTATATTCCAGGAAGGCAGAGTGGCAAAATTTGGGGCGCTGTCAGAGAGTGGAATCTGGGTCTTTAAGTTCACCAAACGCTCCCTTGATCTACAGAATCACAGAATAGTTGAGTTTCGAAGGGATGTCTGGAGATTATGTAGTCCAACCCCCTTGCTCAAGCAGGGTCAGCTACCATTGAAAACAAGCAGATTGCTTCCTCCTTTGTCTTCCTATGAGTTCTTTCCAATAGAAAAATAGTTTCCACAGCTGTTGGCCCACAAAACCTCTGCAGAGATCCAAGGTCACAGAACAAGTCAGCATTTAATCACAAGGAGAGCCTACTCCAGTGATTATGAACCACAAATGAGCTAAGTGCCAAAATGTTCAGGCACAGAATATTCCTGGGACCACTTTCTACCCTACAGTGGCATATAAGCAACCCTGAGGAACCTAAGTGATAGGCTGGCTTTCAGACAATCCTGTAATCAATAGTCTTTATAATATAATTCTAAAATGTGCCACAGGTAAAGATACAATACAGCTGTGTGATATTCTTTTCTATACAGAAAAAGTTTCAAAACTGCACTGAACTCCAAGGAGGAGGGGTGACAGCCAAGCATGCTCTTATACTGCCTCTCCTGGTGTAGGGGCCTGCCAGAAGAACACAGAAGAAATCTGGATATGAAAAAGTCGGAACTTAAGTCAATGTGTAAATTTACTAAATGGTGTTTCTCTGTAATGGCTCAGGTTAGGACCCTGTGAACAAGTGGGGCATCACAGCTAGTAGTAGCACAGTGTGAGCTCTAGTGCAAGGAGGTAAATGGAGGACACATACGCTCTGACAACTTTCAATGCTCATCCCTGCTTAGGCCCAGCCCCTAGGCCTCTCCAGCCCACAGGCTCCGGGTCTGCTTGCACACCTGATAGCAAAGACTCTGCCTAACACAAGGGTGTGCAGAGCCAGCTTGTGGTTGGGTTACTCAAGGCTATTCACATTTGTGGTCTTCGGCTTCTTCCTCACCAGCACTACCACAGCTCCCAACAGTAACAGAAGCACAGCAGTTAGACCTATTCCCAAGTATTTCCTTCTTCTTTGTTCAGGATACTTCTCTGTTTCCATTCCAGGCATATATAAACTTCGGGTTTTTGCATCTTAATATAAGCACTTTCACAATGGATTCACATAGCTGTTCTTTTTAAACCAGGACAAGCCACTTCCCTTGATGCATTTAAGAACAGCAAATATCTTCATTCCCCAAAACCTCACTTGACAACAGTATTCCCAAGAGACTCCAGTGTATGTGAGTTCAGAACAAAGCAATAAACCATAATAATTTACAGTACGAAAATGTACCTCAAGGCATTCTGGGTGATTGGCAGCAAACAGTTTCCATTCTTCCAGAGAATAATGCTTGTGAATCGCAGTGAACATTGCATGCTAGCAAAAATAAGAAAACTGATATTAATGTCCAAGTTAGTCATCTTTCCCTCAGCTGCAGAATAACAAGATATCAGAAATTCCCATTTTAAGTATAGGCTCATCCTGCTTGAAAGAAACAGTAACAGCGAAAAACAGACCAGGCAACTCCAAATGGCTCTTCAAAGGTAACTTACCATACTTAGCCAACCTTTCAGGGTCAGGTTTCTGATGTGTTTCATGAAGTTATGGTCAATATTTTGAATGTGCTTAAGCACTGCAAGAAATTAAGGTGAGCCTTGAGGCCTGAGGCTAATTAACTAGTGACTCCTGACTGCTGCAGCTTTATCAGTAACCCACACTTTCAAAACTGTTGTCAGCTAATATTCTTTTTCTGGAAGGGAACACAATATAGACCTCAAAAACTAAGCTCTAGAAGCTCCACCTGAAGCTGAACTACACCCAAGATGGAAGCTTCCCAGTAAGCATCTCCAGTAAGATCTTGTATCTGGAGCCCTGTCTTTGGTAACTGTATTGCTGTAAAAGCACAGCTGCTTTGCAGTGAAACCACACCTTCTTGTTCTGGATTTTTTAACTCCTGCCCCCCTGTTCTCCAACAAACATAGCTAAAAATTAACAAAGGCTGCTCACTGTCACCCAGTGGTTTCCCAATTGCTGCAGAAATGAGAATCAAGACTTACTTTTGCCATAACCACGGCCATTTCAAACGTCCCCACAGTGTCCATGTTTGCCACTATAATGGGAATTCCTGTATATGTCTGCTTGGAGTTGCGGAAGGTGAAAGTGCACGTGAGGTCGACCTGCAATGAAAAGGCACACATTCTTTTAAGTAACTGATAGCAATCTAACAAGAGTTTTGCCACTGACTTCAGATACAGTAGGTTTGGATGCTGCTTCTTAATTTTCCTCACATTTCCTGTTCTTCCTCCTTTCATTCCACTATAACCTCACTTAATTTATTACAACTTCTGCCTTCCAAATAAGAAAGAAAATATAAAAGTAAAATAATATTTTCTGTGTTAAAGAGAGTTCTTGCTGAAGAAAAAGAGAATCAAAATTTTTAAAAAAAGAAACAAGTCAGAAGGGGTTGGAAAGGAAAGAAAGGACAATGAGGACTGTGGATTATTTTATACAGACGTAACCTCAGCTGTTTGTTTGGCTGCCTGAGAAACCCAAGTCGAAGTCCTAACTCCACAGAAGTCAGAACTGGAATTCCCTCTGTCTCCAGGGCATAGAGGGCTTTGTCCCCATCTTTAATGTAAATGACAATATAATAAAGCAAGCTTTTACTTTTGGCTATGGTTACCAGCACTCTTGCCATACAATATGAGCAATCATACCCTGGCTTACTAAACCATGAGGCTGCTAGTTTCTAAGTTAATTTCTTACAACTGCGTCAGCCTTCACCTTCAAAGTTATTTCTTCTTCAGCATCCTCAAATGATCGTGGTAACATCAGGCATTTTGTTCCTTACATTTGCAAGAGGTAATATCAAATTTAGATCAGTTCCCACTGGTCTATTTAGCATCTTGCAAAAGGGGGAAAAAAACCCTCTAAGAAATATCTTACAGCTGTAAGATATCTTACATTTCATTACACATTAAATATCACATTTCATTTCATACACATACACATTTCATTCACATTAAATATCTTACAACTGTAAGATATTAGGTTAGCCTCTTCAGTAACAGTGAAAATGAAGGCTCTTTCATAGTTTTCATTACTCCTCACTTCAGCTTTAATCCAGGAACATTCAGAGACCTGAACTGAACCTGGATCCATCACCAGAAAGGAAGCAATATAAAAAAATATAGGACTTTGATTATTTATTTACAACATATTTTGAGCACTGTCATATTGCAGGCTGCATTCTGATGGATTAATATGATGGGGGGTTCATTACTAATTTGTATAAGAGAAGGAACTTGGTGCCTCAGTGACATATTGTGAAACAGGTTCTCATTTTGTATAAGCTCATAAGGGAAGGGTCACTTTGGTGAACAAGCTAAGATACATCTTAATGGAGAGACTCACTCTTCTTCCCATTTACCATCACAGAGGCCCAATTCTCCACCCATCACTGATAACATTCTTACAGGAACTTCAGCTGCAGCTAACATGAGAAAATAGTATGAAGAAGATAGGTATGAAATAAGTACGAGAATTTAATGGATTTTACTCCCTTTTAATGCAACTTATTAACTAGAACGAAGGAAAAAAAAAGAGTATCACACAACCACTTCTACACAGACAATAGTACCAGAACCCCTGCCTTACAGTTTTACAGAGGAAAAACATCTCTTTCAAATGAACTTAAGAAAGAAGTGGAGAAGAAGAGTATGTTTAAGAAAAGACTGAGGCAAGATGCAAAGCTATGCAGGGAACACAAGGCCATTACTCTTTCAGTGATTCTCACCTCCACTTACTGTAACTTCTCATATGTGACTTCCTTTAGCCAGCTGGCCAGATGGGTCTCATGCAATTATCCACACAACTGATAATACTGCAATGGCAGGCATTTATGAGAGATAATTGCGGGGCTTCCCCTAATGAGGCTTTTGTTCTATAAGAGCAGGAGAAATGGCACACTGGGTTGGAGATGTTTATGTGGTGCCCTAGTTCTCCAAACAGCCAGTACCAGATGTCTGGAAAGGGAACATAAGAATGAGGCAAGTTTTGAAAGACTCTTTCCCCAGCCTACCTTCCCAGGTCCCAAGAAGCTGATGTTTAGAGACCTTCAAAGACAAAGGTCTCCTCCAATCCATTGTGCTAAATAGCCACTCATGGACAAAGAACTTGCCTTGTAATTTTTTTAACCCTTCACACCTTTAGCCTCTCCAATATCCCATAGCAATAAATTCCAAAGATTAATTATATGTTGCATAAAAACTACAACCTTTGCCTGATAATCAGTGCTTCCTACTTCTTGCTTTGTGAGAGACAATCAACAGCCACTTCTCAGTTTCACCTTTTCCATTCCACTCCTCACTTCACAGACTTCTAGCATATCCTCCACAGCTGCTTCTTCTCCATACAGAATAGTCCTAGTATATTTAGTTTTTTCCTCCTGTGGAAACCAGTCAATACTGCTGATCATCCGGGCTGCCATTCTCTGTACCTATTTTAGCATATTACGCTGTTCTTGTGAAGGGATCACCAGAACTGTGTACTCAAGATGAACATACTGAGGAGCATCACAAAGCTAACTGGTTTTCCTTACTTTCTCTAGTAGCACTTCTGACCATCTCTTTGTCTCTTTCTTGAGTGGTAACAGCAAATTTATAGCTTATTGTTCAGAAAATAACTTCTGACTCTAGGATTGCTCACCATCACTCAACAACAGTAAAAGTTCCTTTAGAAAGAAAATAATGAAATGTATTTTATAACTCCTACCTAGACCTTCAACATATGAAAGTACTAGGACATTGGCTGTTCTGTTAAAGTTCCCTGGACCTACTTGAATTTACAAATTTAAATTAATGACTAGACTTCCTACAGGACACTTGTCTGGTGAACTTAAAATGAACAGCCTGCAGAGGCAAGTCCAGCAAAGGCAAGAATAGCAGGCTACGTGAGTACCAAGACCCCACAGACAGATAATGCTGCTCTTACTCCAATCATTGCTTTAACCAATTTTGACACTTGAATTCAAGCTTCAAATTTTCTGGTATCTTTTCAAAAAGAGAAAGCAATCATGGAAAATGAAGACAGTGCAAGGAATCAAAACCAAGTACCAACATAGCAGACCTACAAGAAGAGCTGCAAACACCCCAAACTGACTCTCTAAGAAGCTGACTTAATCCTAGTTACTGCATAAAAAGCTATCCTTGCGCAAAATGAGGCATTCACACCAGAGAAGCAGACGCTTGCTGATATAAGCTTCAAAGCAGCAGCTTGCTGGGTAACAGGCACTGTGGTATGCTGCCTCTGTTCCTCTGCCAGAACTATTTATTTATATTCTTGTTTTGAAGCAGACTGGGGCTGTCCACTTCATTTCAGATCTGGCTCTCACAGACACTGTTTATTCCTGTTGCTACAGCCTCAGTGACGGTGTCCAATTTCTTAACCTTCATCAGTTTTCACTGACCCCCCCTCACGACATACACTTTTTCTCATGTGAAATGTTTTTAACAGTTCATCATAGTCACCCGTTGCAACCCTGCCATATCAGCTTGTGTTCCTCCTATCGTTTTCCCTTCCCAGCAGCCCTTCTTTCCACAGCCTGCACACAGCTAAATATACAAAACACTGCACTTGAAGGAGCCATGTGTCACTCAGTGGAGCACAGCTCCACCTGTTTGCCAGGCCAGCACAGTGAATTTTAAAGAGGGACCATAGGTCCCCAAGCAAATGGCCGGAAAGGGCCTACAGGCCTTATGAGCAGTAATTGCACACAATGAGGAGTTACTCAGCCGGGACACTGTTCTTTGTAAATTAAAAACGACTAGCCTGAGATTACCTTTCTACTGAGAGGGCCTCTCCAATCTTACACCTTCATAATGGCAAAAAAGTTTCGCTTAGTTGTTGCCCTCAAAATCACTGGCCATAGGCCTGTAATAAACATGGCCACCCTGCTTCCCTTTCCAGTCTTGTCTTTCTACCTCCCTTGATTTGTCTCAGTCTCTCTCTCTTACAACTCCACTTCCCCTGGAGAAAAGCTTAATCCTCTTTCCATCCCCCAACACAACGTAATTCCTTCATTAGTCAAACTAAATCCTTTGTTAACCTTGAGGTTACGTTAGGTAAATGAGAAGGCACCTTCAATCCTGAGGCAGCCATCTTTTTTGTAGAGGCAATCCTCACGGGATTTCCTGGGGTCTTTCCTGATCCCTGCTGAGAAATAACCACAGCAATATCCCGGCTAATGGTGGCCCTGGGCCAGCAGGGACGCAGAGGCCCCAGGCAGCCTTGGCCGCGGGAGGACGGCTAGGCTCTGCCAGCGCAGGTCATGCAGCAGCAGGAGGCAGGTCGCGGGGGTTAACATAGGCGAGGGTGAAACACACCCCACCGCCCCAGGTTTCCACCTGATGGGATCCCAGCCTGGGGCACCCTGTGCTGCGGGAAGCGCTCCCCAGCGTCTTCGCTGGTTGTTTCTTATCACTAGTATTTTTTAAAAAGAGCATGTCAGTTACTCGGTAACAGCACTGCCCACAACCCCCGAGGCTGAGGGCTAAGACGCCTGCCGGCCCGCACCCCCGGCTTTTGCCGGCCCAAGCTGCGGGGCGCGTAACCGGACACCCCCCTGCCCCGGAGAGGGGCTGGCAGAGCTGTCGGTTTACCGCTGCCCCTACGGCAGGCAGCCCCCGCGGAAACCGGAGGTCACCCCCCGCTCAGCGCCGCAGAAATCCGCAGAGGCACCTGTTAGGCGCAAACAATTCCCCCCGCCTCCCCCTTTTATTTTTGCTGAGGAGCGGGGGAGGACAGCGCGGCACCGGCTTGCAGCGCCTGCCGCCTCCCGCTCCGCCGGGGCCGGGGCTCGCCTCGCCAAGGGGCGGGAGGGACACGCCGCGGGCTCCGTGACCCCGGTTCCCCTCCTCCCCGGAGCAGCGGCATCCCCACCGCCACGCAAAGGGCGTTTCGATCGGGGAGGGCATTGCTACGTTAGACTGGGGAATAAAAATAAAGGAGGGAGGGAAGGAGGGTTAAGGAAGTTAGGCGCTGAGAACGGAGAAAAAGCATGCTGGGTTTCAGTGCCCCCACCTCTGATCTGCTTTTGAGGCTGCTTCTTTTAGGTCTGAGCAGGACATCTTTAAAGTCCAGTTTGAGGTCTGCGTCTACCCGGGGCATCTTGCCGGGGTGGCGGGGTGCGGGGGCCG